ATAAGTTGTGATTGTGAAGAGTCTTTTTCTTTGGGAGGATAAAACTCATAAAAGCCTTGTAATGAGACATTGTCAATTTTTTCTTGAACCGCATGTGTTCACTAAGTGTATATGCATTTTTACAAAAAAATTTTAGAAAAAATCAATTCAACATTTTTAAGTAATTTTACGGTTTTGTGTTGGGTCGCATTCATAGCTCTCTTGGGTTGCATGTGGCCAGTGAGCCACAGGTTGGACACCCCTGGATTAGAGGTTGGATGAAAGGTTTAATCCAAAATGACACTTTTAAATAAATATATTAATATAATAATATAATAATATATATATATATATATATATATAAAAAATATATAATAATTATTATAATATAATAATAAGTAATAAATATTTTATGGTGGTATATACATGAGACAAAAAAGTGGGACAGCTAAGGAGGAAAGAGGGAAAGTGAGATTTGGTTCTGAACAGGGCTGCCAACCGTCAGTAAATTTACAGACAGTTTGTAAAGATCAGTGATTTATCAGGGGCTGATAATTTGTCATGCTGTGTTGACTTTTGCAAGTGTAAAGCAGTCAAATTACTTGTTATATGTATTGCCAGTGTTTCCATATTGTGTTTATGTTGTTTCAATATTGATTGTCTTAGTTTTTAATGTCATCTTTCAGGTTGTCAGTAAAAAATGTGCTCCGCCAGTAAATATTATATGTTTTGTCAGTAAAAAATGCTGTGGGAGGTTGCCAACTGTCCCTCTTCTGAAAGAGGGATAGTTCTTGCAATGAGGGAAATTGATTTTTAAAAAGAAATTTTGTTTTCATTTATTTGGAGGGGTTTTTTTGAAGGTGTATTGTGAGTTACTTTTTTTTTAATTTGAGTTTTTTCTTCAATTATTGTGTATTTTATTTTTTATTTTACTTTTCTTTTTTTGCTTCTATGAAAAATAAAAATAAAAAAACAATAAATAAACAATAAGGTAGATTAGGGTCCATAAGAATGGATAGATGGAGATTTTTAAAAAGTAAATTTTTTTTTTTATTTATTTGGAGGGTTTTTTGAAGGTGTATTGTGTTACTTTTTTTAATTTGAGTTTTTTCTTCAATTATTGTGTATTTTATTTTTTATTTTACTTTTTTTTTTGCTTCTATAAAAAATAAAAATAAAAAAAACAATAAATAAAACAATAAGGCAGATTAGAGTCCATAAGAATGGATAGATGGAGATTTTTAAAAAGCAAATTTTTTTTATTCATTTATTTGGAGGGTTTTTTGAAGGTGTATTGTGTTTACTTTTTTTTTAAGTTGAGTTTCTTCTTCCATTTTTGTGTATTTTATTTTACATTTTATTTAACTTTTTTTTGCTTCTATGAAAAATAAAAATAAAAAACATTAAATGAAACAATAAGGCAGATTAGGGTCCAAAAGAATGGGTAGATGGAGTTTGTTTTCTTTTTCTTTATTTGGGTTTTTTTAAGGTGTTTTGTGACTAGTTGTGAGTAGTTTTTTTTTTGTTTGTGTATTTGATCACTTGTGTACTGCCATTTTATGTTTGTTGACTTTGTTTCCCAGACAAAAGGTAACAAGACAATCCTGTACTAACTGTATCAGTAAAGAAACAGGTCACAAAGATGTACATTATTTTCAAAAGGAAAACAAAACAACAAAAACAATAAAAAAAAACACAAGATAATTCCCCCAGAGGTCTAAAAGATATATACAATAAGAGGAAAAGCAAAAAAAAAAACCCAAGAAGAAGACTAAACTAAGCAAAAATATAAATTAACAGGCAGAAAAAAGCATATTGCTGGGGACTGTAGACACATTCCTATAAAAAGGCTGTACTGTAATTTTGTATTTTATTTTACTTTTTTTCTTCTTCTTTGAAGAAGAATTGTATATAAATTAATCAGGATAATGAGGTGCCATAAGAACAAGTCCATAGAGCTTTTTGTTTTTTTCTTTTTTTACACGTTCTTTTTAAAGGTAATACTTGGGTAGCTGTGAATAGGTTTTTTTTCTTTTTTTTTGTGTATTTGATTATTTATAGAATATTGTTTTAAATGTGTTTTTTTTCTGCTTCTGTGGAAAAAATAAGTAAAATAATGAGGCTGATGAGCATGGATCCAAAGAATTCTATTTTTCTTCTATATTTAGAGTTTTTTTTTTTTTTAAAGGTGTGTTGTGAGTAGTTTTTTGGGGGGTTTTTTTTGCTGTTTATTTCCCTTTCTCTTTGATTGTTATTTGTGTACTTTGGTTTTAAATGCTTTATTTTACCTTCTACGTCTGTGAAAAAAGTATAATCAGATATTTACTACTTCAAAAGCAATGATTGTTTCTCAGTGAAGCCGAGAATAACGCGTCAGTTCACACAAAGATCTTAGTTTAGTCATTGGTGGAGCCTGGTGGGCTGAGTCCGTGTCCGGCACCTTCTATGACTTGAATGCTCCAACTGTGAGAACTCTCTGCAATAATTTTTGACTCTGTTCCTGGGAGTTTTACGTGTTTCCACCTAACGTTGTGTGTTCCAGCTCCCCCCCAGGGGCGGACTGACCATTTGGAAACTCGGGCACTGCCCGAGGGCCTGGAGTCAGTAGGGGGTCCCATGAGATGCCCCTGGTACCTTTTTCATAGGCTTTTTTGAGTTTGGCCAAAGACACAGGGGCCCCATGATCCCCTATTGCCTGGGGGCCCCATGAGTTGTCAGTCCGCCCCTGAGCTCCCCTGTTAAATTTTGCATTATATAAAATAAATGTAAAATTCAAAAGTAATGGTAGGAAGCCCTCATAATGAGCACAACCAAAGAGCCCCCTAAAAGACAGAAGGGACTGTCAAGCAGTTTAATTCTGTAGCATCTACGAAACCATAAAATTTGGCTCTAGGTGGACTGACCTTGAAACTTCTCCTAATACTGAGTGGCCCCATGGCAGCTGAATGCCGAGATCAGGATTGCAATGGCTATGTACTGTGATGAGTAGAAGGAGCTTAGGTGGGATTGCATTGAAGTTTGAGGACAAACATTTGAGGACAACTTTCACAAAGACATGGTTTGGCCAGTTTGGTGAAGAGGAACTCAAGTGTCCTGCACAGAGCCTTGACCTCAACTCTACAGAACACCTTCGTGGTGATTTGGATGGCCATTTGTGATCCAGGTCTTCTCCTCCAACATCGATACTTGACCTCACAAATGCTTTTTTAACTGAATGGTCCCTACATCCTAAAAACAAAAAACTCCAAAATCTTATGGGAGGCTTTTCAGGTATAGCTGCAGAGATATTCACCTCCGGATAATGGGCTGTGGTTTTGGAATGGAATTTCAAACAAACTTATATAGGTGTGATGGTCAGGTGTTCATTTTGGCCATATATTGGACTAAATATGTTCCAACAGTCAGAGGCTTCCCTAGGGTTGGTATCACCCGGTGTGGTAACACTTGGTGACACCCCCTCTGGCGATCCGCGCAGAATGGATCAGATCTGCAGATTGAGCTTAATGGATCGGACTCGGATCCATTATGCTCCCCAATCCGCAGATTTGATCTATGCGGGGATCGTCGGCTTGCTTTACAACTTACCTTTTCGTGGTCTGGTGTCACCCCCATATAGGTTCCATGCCGACGATCCCCGCAGGATGGTTCGGATCTGCAGATTGAGCATAATGGATCGGAGTCCGATCCATTATGCTCCCCAATCCGCAGATCCCATGCATGTCAACGTTGCAAAATTGTGCTTAGCCGTTAAGATTTGTTTTACCCTTCGGCATGAAGGGGTTAAATAGATACCTGCACCTGCCTACGAAGAAGCAAAGGCCCTGGTAAATAAAATGGCCTGGGCCTGCCTACAAGCATGGTAATAAGGGGGAAAAACAGGAACCAGGGAAGGCGAAATAGAAGCATGAAATCACAAAACTCAGAATGATATTTTAACGATCGTGAGGTTCTCTAAGGAATACAGCAGAAAACCTCTTTAAATCATAACTTAGTGTTACATAAAAATACTCCATAGTCCTCGTTTATTCCACAGTTCAATAAAGCCGCCGGGTGGTTCACCAACATCCTCTGAATTAGCCTCATTCACTGAAGATTTAAGTTGTTCCTTCCTGTCCAAGAATTGATGGATCCTACGTGGACACATCACAGTAATGAAACATACAAAAACCTCTTAACCTTTCCTATAAATGATTGGATGTGTTCAGGAAGTTGAAGTGATACATCAATATGTCTGTTCCTCGGGGCTCTCTCATTACCGATTAGAAATGATTGCTGAGAGGTTAACAAAGATGCTGCTACGGATTTAAAGGGAACCTGTGCTAAGAATAATATGGAGCTTTCCATTACGAGGCTCCTTCTCAGTATGCTAGGTATGGTGATTGCCTTTGGTTTTAGTGTTTTCTAGGTCAGTGTTTCTCAACTTCTTTTCCAGTCAAGGCACCCTTTAAAATTATGGACAGTCCCGAGGCACCCTTTAAAATTATGGACAGTCTTGAGGCACCCTTTAAAATTATGGACAGTCCCGAGGCACCCTTTAAAATTATGGACAGTCTTGAGGCACCCTTTAAAATTATGGACAGTCCTGAGGCACCCTTTAAAATTATGGACAGTCCCGAGGCACCCTTTAAAATTATGGACAGTCCCGAGGCACCCTTTAAAATTATGGACAGTCTTGAGGCACCCTTTAAAATTATGGACAGTCCCGAGGCACCCTTTAAAATTATGGACAGTCCCGAGGCACCCTTTAAAATTATGGACAGTCCCGAGGCACCCTTTAAAATTATGGAAAGTCCCGAGGCACCCTTTAAAATTATGGACAGCCCTGAAGCACCCTTTAAAATTATGGACAGTCTTGAGGCACCCTTTAAAATTATGGACAGTCCTGAAGCACCCTTTAAAATTATGGACAGTCCCGAGGCACCCTTTAAAATTATGGACAGTCCCGAGGCACCCTTTAAAATTATGGACAGTCCCGAGGCACCCTTTAAAATTATGGACAGTCCCGAGGCACCCTTTAAAATTATGGACAGTCCCGAGGCACCCTTTAAAATTATGGACAGTCCCGAGGCACCCTTTAAAATTATGGACAGTCCCGAGGCACCCTTTAAAATTATGGACAGTCTTGAGGCACCCTTTAAAATTATGGACAGTCCCGAAGCACCCTTTAAAATTAAGGACAGTCTTGAGCACCCTTTAAAATTATGGACAGCCCTGAGGCACCCTTTAAAATTATGGACAGTCCTGAGGCACCCTTTAAAATTATGGACAGTCCTAAGGCACCCTTTAAAATTATGGACAGTCCTGAGGCACCCCATTCTAAAATGTGAAAAACTATTCTAATAGTTTTTTATAATGCAGAAAATGTAGGACACCCAACATTAGAGGTGATTTATTCTTCCAAAGCAAATACACTCGAGATTGAAGGGAGGATTGGGAGTCCCGACCTATCCAAATATTTTTTCTGTGCACAATTAACCCCATTGATACACTTCCACTTCTGACCCCTATGGTTGCAATTGGAATCATCCCATGTCCCCAATACTCCAATTAGCCATATGATGTTTCTGAAAGCCAGGGACAGACCTTGAATTCTGTGTCCCACATTATCTGTTTTCCTTAGTTTATGGGTAGATTAGCGAGGAAACATGGTTTTAAATCTCTCCATACTCCATTAGCCCCTATCTTAGGCAATCCTGTGTTCCCTCTGTTTTTGGGTGGTGGACCAACAAAGGTTTTCTCTGTCTGGCGGACTTCTGCGATCACAGGGGCCCAATATCTAGGACAGTATTTCAGGAAAAGAATCACCTCCCCACTAAGGAGCTACAGTGACGGAAATAAGTATTTGATCCCCTGCTGATTTTGAATGTTTGCCCACTCACAAAGAAATGATTTGTCTAAAAATCGAATGTTCGGGGGATTGTAACACTGACAGACAGAATAGCAACAACAAATTCAAAAGAAATGCATGTCTAACAAATGATGCACTGATCTGCATGTTCATGAGGGAAATAAGTATTTGATCCCCTATCATTCAGCAGGATTTCTGGCTACCAGGTGTCTTCCATACAGGTAACAAACTGAGATTAGAAGCAATCTCTTAAAGGGAGTGCTGCTAATCTCATTTTGTTTACCTGTATAAAAGACACCTGTCCACAGGAGCAATCAAACAATCAGATTCCAAACTCTCCACCATGGCAAAGACCAAAGACCTGTCCAATGAGGTCAGGGACAAGATGGTAGACCTACACAAGGCTGGACTGGGCTACCAAACTATGGCCAAGCAGCTTGGTGAGAAGGTGACAACAATTGGTGCAATCATTCGCAAATGGAAGAAACACAAAACAGCTGTCAGTCTCCCTAGGTCTGGTGCACCATGCAAGATCTCACCTCGTGGAAATGATACTGATCATTTCTTTGTGAGTGGGCAAACATTTAAAATCAGCAGGGGATCAAATACTTATTTCTTTAACTGTATATTGATTCTTTCAAATAACCCAGCTCCTCAATACTCTCAGACGCACCAGTGACTTGACTTCTTCAACTCCAATGGGAACATTTTGGTAGAACTTTAGATAGGCATACAGGTCATATATCTAAGATATATACTATCTGCATGAGGACTCCACCAAATTGCCCTTTATGGAAAGATGGTAACGAGACCTAGGGGAAGTATTGGAGGCAGCAGAGTGGATTAAACTGGTGCGGCTTAACTCTAAAACTTATATCAATACATCACTGATTGAGGCAAATTATAATGTCGTCCTACAGTGGTATTTGGTACCATCCCGTCTGGCGTCGTTTGTCCGGGGGACCTCCTCCAGTTATTTCTGCAGCTGCAGACAGGAGGAACAGTTCTCCACACGTGGTGAACCTGCAGCAAAGTAAAGCGATTTTGGATTCGCACTTATAATTTTATTTATTCACTTACCCAGGTGAATCTTGCCAAGTCTCCACAACAGGCCCTTCTAGGGAAACCGGTGGAGGGAATACCTGGATATGTGAGACGCCTGATTGCATTTATATTCACTGCTGCCAGAATATCCATTGCACAATCTTGGAGATCACTCACGGTTTCCTTTGACCTCCTAAAGGCCAAAGTGACCTGGATAATGGTCAATGAACGTCTGACCATTATTCTCATTGATAGGGTGGCCTACTTTGAGAAAACTTGGGACCCCTTGATGAAATATCTCTCAGGACCCTCCTAGGTTAGACTGAGGGTAATGTGTAGAACCCATACCTCTTTCTATGATAAAACTAATAAACACTATTGGAAACAAAGCAAATACACTTTTGCACACTGGTACTGACTAGTATTCCAGTGTTTCTCTGCTCCCTCAGTTTTTGGTGGAGAGGGCAGGGAAGGGTCAAACTAGGATGCTGTACAGGCAGTGGACATCCTCCTTATCAACTGATGATGTCATTGGTTGTCAGGATGCTAGTGGCTAGAAGATCGTAATGGTGCACAATGAAAACCTGTAGCTTTGTGTACCTAAAAGGCAGGCTTGTTCCACCCACTGGCTTATATACAAGTTTTTGGCAATTTTCAGCCATTTTGCCAAGGTACCCCTGAAGAAACCTAAAGGCACCCCAGGGTGCCTGGGTACCCTGGTTGAGAAAGGCTGTTCTAGGTCACTGAGCCAGAGCAAGCCTGTTGATCCAAAACAAAAGAGTGTGGACTCCTGATCTGCAATCTCTCAACACTTGCTTTCCAACATACATATATAAATGTAGCACCCTTCTAGTGTAGTGTAGGCTGGTAGGTAATTTTAGTTGGCTCCCTTGTAATCAGTGGAGAGGGGGTTGATTATTTAGGGCTGCTCAGTGTCTCACAGGCTACTGCTCTCATAGCTTCCCCCTTTATTTTAGAGGTTTCTAGAATCATAGTAAGAGGAAGAACAGGGCATACCGCCTGAATATTTATGGAATGTCATCCAATTCCTGGGGAGGTGTGCCCAGTAGGTGGTTGGAGAACTCTTAAATAGTCTGAGACCTAAGCAACAGGGGCAGTGTTCCTGGATCCAGTCCTGCTGAAGGGGACCCCTGTGCAGGGCTCTACCTCTGGGACAGAATACTAGAAGGAGCCATCAGGAAGGTCCCAGCAAGGCTTAGCTGGGGGGCCCTATTTTCCAGCTTGGGTCCTATGATCATGTCAGGTCTGGAGAAGCTCACTGGGGAGAGCCAGGAGAAAGTTGATGGGAAAGAGTCCAGCTGTCCTATGGTGGTATGAGTCTACATCTCCTTCACTGAGAAGAGCCTGATGGTTATCATAAGGAGGCAACCGATGATCCTGTGGCTGTGTGAGTAAATGACCCCAATGCTGAAGAGTTAGTGAGTGCGTGTAACTTTGCGTGTAAACTCTGGAAGGAGTACTAGTCACCATCAGCATAGAGATTCTGTAGGACATTCCCTTTTCACAGTTCAGCAAGATAGTTAAGGAGTCCTCAAGTTATCCAGTTCTTCAGTTTATTAGGGTATCCCATGGTCCCCTCATCCCCATCCACGGTTAAAGTTTCCAATAAACCCCCCTCCCCCCAAAAAAAAGAAAAACCTAGACTGTTCCTTGGAGCCAGAGGAAGAATGAAGGAAGTGCAGCTGCAGCCATGGTCTTGGCACCATTTTTTTCCACCGGCGATTGCCTGTTTTGTAAAAGTGATGTTCACAGCGTTTTGATGACCCTCCTCCTTCTGCAGTCACCCACCATGGTTCCCGGGATCTCCTGTTCCTCCGGAGAGACTAGGACTGCAGTAAATGGCTTGGATCACTGTACACAAAGGAGTTGTGAAGAATGAACCCAGAAGTGATGATGATTTTATCACTTCTGGTTTCAGAGCTGTCATTCTCTGGCTGTACCAGCTAGGAAAGAAGCTAACCAAGCACAGTCTGTGTTTGGTTAGCTGCTTTGGAGGGCAAGGGAGACATCAGAGGTCTTCCCTTGTGATAGCAATAAAGTTAAATAGAAAAAAAAGGTATAAAACTATAAAAAAGTGTAAAAAAAATACATTTAATTAAATAAACAAAAATAATTTAAATAAATGTAAAAGCACCCCCATCCTCCCGTGCATACACACATATGCAAACGCAGTGTAGTTTCAGCACGCGTATGTAAACAGCAATTGCACCACATATGTGAGGTATCACTGTAAATGTCATAGTGAGAGCAATAATTCTAGGCTCATAATTCATAATTAACTGATAACCTACGACGGCTTTTAAAGCATCACCTACGGACAAATTGAGGTACCTTAGCTTGCTGCCATTTCAAGGGGAATGCACAATTCTAAAAGTTGACTTGTTTGGTATCTATGTACTCGCCCTAGCATCATCTTTTATATTCTACCAAAAAAATTGGGTATCAAATTGTGTTTATCTAACCTAAAATTTATTACAGTGTATTTTTTTCTAAAATATGTGTTTGATAAATAGCTTTGCACAAATTGTGTCACCTAAAAAAAAACCAACCACCATTATTCTCCAGGTCCTCTGCTTTCATAAAATATATAACGTTTGGGGGTTCATTTTATAGCAAATTTTAACATGTATAAAAAAAAAATTTGACTGAACAGAAAGGGGTTAAAGTGTTACTAAACCCAGGACCCTGCATTCATCTATATCTGGTCTCCCCGCTCTCCCTGGACCCTGCATTCACTATATCCGCTCTCCCCTGGACCCTGCATTCACTATATCCGCCCTCCCCGGACCCAAGCATTCACTATATTTGGGACTATATCTGCTCTCCCCGGACCCTGCATTCACTATATCTGGTCTCCCTGGACCCTGCATTCACTATGTCCGATCTCCCCGGACCCTGCATTCACTATATCCGCTCTCCCTGGACCCTGCATTCACTATATCCGCTCTCCCTGGACCCTGCATTCACTATATCTGGTATCCCATGACCCTGAATTCACCATATCTTGTCTCGCAGGACCCTGCATTCACTGTATCTGGTCTCCCCGGACTCTGCGTTCACTATATCTGGTCTCCCCGGACCCTGCATTCACTATATCTGGTCTCCCCCGGACCCTGCATTCACTATATCTGGTCTCCCCTGGACCCTGCATTCACTATATCTGGTCTCCCCGGACCCTGCATTCACTATCTGGTCTCCCCGGACTCTGCATTCACTATATCTGCCCTCCCCGGACCCTGCGTTCACTATATTTGCTATCCCCGACCCCTGCATTCACTATATCTGGTCTCCCCGGTCCCTGCATTCACTATATCTGGTCTCCCACAGTACACAGAACATGGAAATGCAATTAGTTTAGTAAATATAAACTGATAAATACCTTTTCTCATCAGCAGTATATAGCAGTCTTGTGACTTCTATCAGTGCCCAGCAGAGCACTGGTTAAATCTTATAGAAGGAGTTTTCATTCTCCCCTGATTGTCCTATGAGGCTGCAGGACTCCTGACCTTCTGTCTGGAAAGCTTTGATTGGCCCTGTGCTGATCACAGGCACCCTCCCAAGGAAAAAAAAAAAACTATCTAGCAATACACACCAAACTGAGCATGTACAGCTTGCCCCCAAGGCTGTGTTCTATCAGGAGATGGATTGGGGACAGTAAAAGAAGGGGAGGATCAAAGAAGACAGGATCAAACAGCCTTTTTACACAATGCAGAGGATTAACCCCTTAGGTTCCACAGTGAGTATAACAAGCATGCTTTACTGCATATACAGACTGATTGTACTGTTGTGGGTTTAGTAACACTTTAAAGAAGAGAAGCCACTGTATCTCCAGTAGAGCCAGGGAACTGGCTTCTTCATACGGGGTATTGCTTAGCAATGAAGCATCCAAAATTAGAGATGCGGTGTATGAGCATCTTAGTCCGTTTGGCCAGGAAGTGTCACCATAGTTAATTGGTAGAGCAGGTTCAGGGATTCCTTGTGGTGGGTAGGCAGCATAGTCTACTAGTTCTCTTGTGAAGTAGTGCTCACATAAATATAGTCCTGGAACCTGGGAACCTCATGGGTGTCTGGAGTACCAAGACTCACGGGAAGTGTCTGGAGTACCAAGACTCACAGGAAGTGTCTGGAGTACCAAGACTCACGGGAAGTGTCTGGAGTACCAAGACTCACGGGAAGTGTCTGGAGTACCAAGACTCACGGGAAGTGTCTGGAGTACCAAGACTCACGGAAAGTGTGTCTGGAGTACCAAGACTCACGGAAAGTGTCTGGAGTACAAAGACTCACGGAAAGTGTCTGGAGTACCAAGACTCACAGGAAGTGTCTGGAGTACCAAGACTCACGGAAAGTGTCTGGAGTACCAAGACTCACAAGAAGTGTCTGGAGTACCAAGACTCACGGAAAGTGTCTGGAGTACCAAGAGTCACGGGAAGTGCCTGGAGTACCAAGACTCACGGAAAGTGCCTGGAGTACCAAAACTCACGGGAAGTGTATGGAAGTGTACCAAGACTCACAGGAAGTGTCTGGAGTACCAAGAGTCACGGGAATGGAGTGACTCAGGAAGTGGAGTACCAAGACTCACGGGAAGTGTCTGGAGTACCAAGACTCACGGGAAGTGTCTGGAGTACCAAGACTCAAGTGTCTGGAGTACCAAGACTCATGGGAGTGTCTGGAGTACTAAGACTCACGGGAAGTGTCTGGAGTACCAAGACTCACGGGAAGTATCTGGAGTACCAAGACTCAGGGAAGTGTCTGGAGTACCAAGACTCACGGGAAGTGTCTGGAGTACCAAGACTCAGCAAGGATGTAGTCTATGGCGGTCTATCATGGAGCTTCCCCTTAGAAGGGAAGCCGGGATGGAACATTGCAGAACTGTTAGGACTACTCGCATCTGCCTTGGGATGCTGGAATCTGGCAAAACCCCTGTGAAAGATGGAGGCTCCTAGACTATCCTCTTGCTTATGTTCTCTCTATTGTTTCCAGCCTTAGACCCCTTTCACACGGGCGTTCCATTTTTTTCAGTTCAGTCATGTTTTTCCAAGAAAAAAACTGATACATTCACAGCAGTTTTCATCAATTTACATCCATTTTTCATCCAATGTTCATCCTTTTACATCTGTTTTAGCCTGTTTACATCCGTTTACATCCATTTGTGTCTGTTTACATCCCTTTTAGTCTCTTTACATTTGTTTTTGTCCGTTTACATCCGTTTTTGTCTGTTTATGTCCTTTTTGTCGGTTTACATCCGTTTACATCTGTCTTTGTCCATTTACATCAGTTTTTGTCCCGTTTACATATTTTTTTTGTCTGTTTACATCCCTCTTAATCTCTTTACATCATGTTTTTGTCAGTTTACATCTGTTTTTGTCTGTTTACATCCGTTTTTGTCTGTTTACATCCGTTTTTGTCTGTTTATGTCCTTTTTTGTTGGTTTACATCCGTTTACATCTGTCTTTGGCCATTTACATCAGTTTTTGTCCGTTTACATCTGTCTTTCATCTGTTCCATTTAAAGGCACAGGTTTATTAAATAATGAACTAATAGGTCAACAATTAAAAGATAACAATCAATTTTTATGTTACACGATCTTAAAAAAACATACAAGTTGCAATACAAAGTGTGGCAGTATTATCAAGAGCTGGTGACTCAATGCTAATAATATGAAGATCAGTCATGCATGTGTTGTCACTGACGCGTTGCGAGACCAAGTACCATCTCTTCTTCAGAGGTGCTCAAAAGGCATGATGTATTAGTTTCCATGGATGCAACCAAGGACTTCATAAGCCTCTAACAGCAATGATGATCAGAAAACGCAGAGAAGGAATGTTAGAAAATGATAGCTGCCACTCAAACATCTCCTGGAGTGGCCCCGCCCAACCATATCAGTGGCAAACCAGGTGTTGGTCTGCACATTGATACTGACAAGATGGAAGGAATAGTGCCCCATAGGAATGTGCCCCATTAGTGGTGTCAGTGGAAGGAATGGAAGGAATAGTGCCCCATCATTGGTATCAGTGGGAGGAATAGTGCCCCATCATTGGTATCAGTGGGAGGAATAGTGCCCCATCATTGGTGTCTGTGGGAGGAATAGTGCCCCATCATTGGTATCATGTGGGAGAAATAGTGCCCCATCATTGGTATCAGTGGGAGGAATAGTGCCCCATCATTGGTATCAGTGGGAGGAATAGTGCCCATCATTGGTATCAGTGGGAAGAATAGTGCCTCATCATTGGTATCTGTGGGAGGAATAGTGCTCCATCATTGGTATCAGTGGGAGGAATAGTGCCTCATCATTGGTATCTGTGGGAAGGAATAGTGCCCCATCATTGGTATCAGTGAGAGGAATAGTGCCCCATCATTGGTATCAGTGGGAGGAATAGTGCCCCATCATTGGTATCAGTGGGAGGAAGAGTGCCTCATCATTGGTATCTGTGGAGGAATAGTGCCCCATCATTGGTATCAGTGGGAGGAAAATAGTGCCCCATCATTGGTGTCAGTGGGAGGAATAGTGCCCCATCATTGGTATCAGTGGGAGGATGTGCCCCATCATTGGTGTCAGTGGGAGGAATAGTGCCCCATCATTGGTGTCAGTGGGAGGAATAGTGCTCCATCATTGGTATCAGTGGGAGGAATAGTGCCCCATCATTGGTATCTGTGGAAGGAATAGTGCCCCATCGTTGGTATCTGTGGAAGGAATAGTGCCCCATCGTTGGTGTCAGTGGGAGGAATAATGCCCCATCTTTGGTGTCAGTGGAAGGAATAGTGCCCCATCTTTGGTGTCAGTGGAAGGAATAGTGCCCCATCATTGGTATCAGTTAAAAGAAAAGTACCCCATTGTTGGAACCATTGGGAGGAATAAAGGCTTGCAAATGGCCACTTCTGGTCTGGAGAGCACGGTGTAGAACAGTGGTCTCCAAACTGTGGGGGGCAAATGTGGCCCTTTGTTTGCCTTTATCCGGCCCTTGGGGCACTATTCCTTCCCACAATAGTTCCTGCATTAACATTAACAATGGATCACTTTACACATATAAAATATTTCCCCTAATACCATTGATGGGACATTGATTACTTCCACTGGGGCATTTTCTACTCCCACTGACTACATTCCACCCCCCAGACCAAAGTCTGAAAGACAATAAACTGGCACTTTGTTTAGAAAGTTTGGAGAACTCTGGTCTAGAATATAATTTCAGCTAAAAACATGTCTGCCTGCATGTAAATGACAGGTACTCTTTAAAAACCACCGGCAAGTGCTCTGCACTCCCACTTGGCGCCTGTCCTCGCACAGTCCACATGTAAACATTGCTTTAATGAGAAGACAGGCGAGGTCACGAGCGGATGGTTAATTTATGTTTCCCGAGGAGCTTCAATTTGCTGTAAAGAGTCTGCGTAAATATTGTGGTTTTCTCATATTTTCATAATGGCATATTTCTGGTCTCCATGAATTGCTTAAATTGGTGTAACGCGGAGAATGTTTGATTTTTAAATCCCGGGAGTGCGTCATCCCTGTTTTCCCTCATTCATGCTCTACGTGCGGGATTTCAAGTATACCTGTCATGAGAGACATATGAAGGCTCCTGTTGTTGATCTCCTTCAGAAAATGCTGCTTGCCTGGCTGTCTTTGGCTTCAGTAATTACTGAGTCTCTGACATTATTATTATACAGTATTTATATAGCGCCAACAGTTTGCTCAGCGCTGTACATTACAATGGGAGACAGTACATGAGACAGCACAGTAACAATACACGAGGGGTTCGAGGGCCCTGCTCCATGGAGCTTACAATCTAGGAGGGAGGGGAGAGTGGTACAGGAGGAAATAGCTGTGGGAGATGGAGTGGTGGGAAGAGCGGAGGAGATCAGGGTGGGGTAGGCTTCTCTGCAGAGATGGGTTTTCTGGGTGCGCCTAAAAGGTGAGGAGGGAAGGTGACTAGAAAGTAGGAGGTCTTGTGAGGAGTGGAGAGTGCGTTTTGGGTGGTATTTGGGTATCAGGTCGGTGATGTAGTTTGGGGCAGTGTTATGAACAGCTTTGTACATCAATGTTAATAATTTGAAACTTGATCTGTTGTGGCAATCGGAAGCCAGTGGAGGGATTGGCAGAGGAGGGTGGCGGAGATGGAGCGGTTAGTAAGGTGGATGAGTCTGGCCGCAGAATTCAGGATAGACTGAAGCAGGGATAGCCTGTGTTGAGGTAGGCCGGTGAGGAGGGAGTACATGAAATAAGGATCCACGCAGCTGGCCAAGGGTAGATCTTAGGACAGAGAGGGAGCTTTCAGTACATGAACTTTAGTGGTAGATTGGATAAATGGAGAATTTTAA